AATCATCTATGAATGTGACAAAGTATTTGTTTCCTTCAATAGAATCCACCTGGATAAGACCACACATATCAGAGTAATATGATTTCAAGAATTGTCTTCGACTTGCTTCCTACATCCTTGATGAAGTTGTTCTTGTAATGCTTTTCCTGCACACATTCCTCCCATACTTCATTTGGAATGTCGATTTCTGGTAACCCTGAAACCATATTTATTACTTTCATATCTCTGATATCTTTGAATTTGAGATGGCCAAGTCTATAGTGCCATATCTATTCATCCCTGCTTGATGCACTTGTAAGGAACTTGTGTTCCATCATATTGAGTTCAATCTTGAAGGTTTTATTCTGATACATATGAGCCTTCAAGATTAACCTTCCACATAAGTCTAGAATTATGATCATCTTATCTTCAATTAACACTTTGTAATTCTTTTCGAACAACTGCCCAATGCTGAGCAAATTACTTTTCATGCATGGTATATAAAATAGGTTGGAAATTGCTGACATTTTTCCATCTTTCTTCATAATCAGAACATGACCAATACCTTCAGCTGCTTGAGTATTGTCATTTGCAAATTTCACCATGTTCTTCATCGAGGAGTTTATTTTGACAACCCAATCTTTCCTACCAGTCATGTGCGATGAGAATCCTGAGTCCAAATACTATTGATCCTTGAATATTTCTTCATTTGTTATTGTGAAAATACCATCTTTCTAACATAATGTGTCGAAGTATTTCGACACATATTCTCCACCACCATCAGTCCTCAGAATCTTGGGCTTTCAACAACTTTATCTTTCGATCATAGATTTAAAATTGGAAAATACCTCAATCACTTTACTTTTCTTCTTGATCGGGTAAGTTCATAGTTTTTTACTAAAATTATCTATGAATGTGACAAAGTATTTGTTTCCTCCAATAGAATCCACTTGGATAAGACCACACAAATCAGAGTAATATGATTTCAAGAATTGTCTTCGACTTTCTTCCTACATCCTTGATGAAGTTGTTCTTGTAATGCTTTTCCTGCACACATTCCTCCCATACTTCATTTGGAATGTCGATTTCTGGTAACCCTGAAACCATATTTCTTACTTTCATATCTCTGATATCTTTAAATTTGAGATGGCCAAGTCTATAGTGCCATATCTATTCATCCCTGCTAGCTGCACTCGTAAAGAACTTGTGTTCCATCATATCGAGTTCAATCTTGAAGGTTTTATTCTAAGACATATGAGCCTTCAAGATTAACCTTCCATATAAGTCTAGAATTATCATCATCTTATCTTCAATCAACACTTTGTAATTCTTTTCGAACAACTTCCCAATACTGAGCAAATTACTTTTCATGTCTGGTATATAAAATAGGTTGGAAATTACTGACATTTTTCCATCTTTCTTCATAATCAAAACATCACCAATACCTTCAGCTGCTTGAGTATTGTCATTTGCAAATTTCACCATGTTCTTCATCGAGGAGTTTATTTTGACAACCTAATCTTTCCTACCAATCATGTGTGATGAGAATCCCGAGTCCAAATACCATTGATCCTCTAATATTTCTTCATTTGTTATTGTGAAAATACCATCTTTCTAACATAATGTGCCGAAGTCTTTCGACACATATTCTCCACCACCATCAGTCCTCAGAATCTTGAGCTTTCAATGACTTTGTCTTTCGACCATAGATTTAAAATTGGAAAATACCTCAATCACTTTACTTTTCTTCTTGATCGGGTAAGTTCACAGTTTTTTACTAAAATCATCTATGAATGTGACAAAGTATCTGTTTCCTTCAATAGAATCCACCTTGATAAGACCACACATATCAGAGTAATATGATTTCAAGAATTGTCTTCGACTTGCTTCCTACATCCTTGATGAAGTTGTTCTTGTAATGCTTTTCCTGCACACATTCCTCCCATACTTCATTTGGAATGTCGATTTCTGGTAACCCTGAAACCATATTTCTTACTTTCATATCTCTGATATCTTTGAATTTGAGATGGCCAAGTCTATAGTGCCATATCTATTCATCCCTGCTTGCTGCACTTGTAAGGAACTTGTGTTCCATCATATTGAGTTCAATCTTGAAGGTTTTATTTTGAGACATATGAGCCTTCAAGATTAACCTTCCACATAAGTCTAGAATTATCATCATCTTATCTTCAATTAACACTTTGTAATTCTTTTCGAACAACTGCCCAATGCTGAGCAAATTACTTTTCATGCATGGTATATAAAATAGGTTGGAAATTGCTGACATTTTTCCATCTTTCTTCATAATCAGAACATGACCAATACCTTCAGCTGCTTGAGTATTTTCATTTGCAAATTTCACCATGTTCTTCATTGAGGATTTTATTTTAACAACTCAATCTTTCCTACCAGTCATGTGCGATGAGAATCCCGAGTCCAAATACTATTGATCCTTGAATATTTCTTCATCTCTTGTTGTGACCATCAACAACATATCTTTTTCTTCATTATTTTTAAGCTTTGGATCATTGTCTTGATTCTTTTGTTTTTTAGGATAATCACTAGACTAGTGACCATACTTCTAATAATTGAAACACTGAATTTGACTTTTGTCTGGTTTTCGTCCTCCACCTATTCCTCTACCTGCAACACCACCTTTGTTGTTGCTTTGGTATGGGGGTCTTCTTTGATTCAACGAATTTCTCTCTTGGTGGTTTTCTCTATCACTCAGATTGTCGTAGCCTCCTCTACCTTTATTGTCGAACCATTTTCCTCTGTCTTTCTTTTCTCTTGTTGATTGCGTCTGTAGAGCCACATCACTCTTCGATTTTCTTGCAGCTCTTCCAACCATTCTTTGTTCATGATATTCAAGCGTCCCTTGAAGCTTTTCCTTTATCAATGTTGATAAATCTTTCGATTCTTCTATGGCTACTACCACATGATCAAATTTTTGAGCCAATGACCTTAAGATCTTTGCAACAATTGATCTTGATGTCAACACTTCTCCACATATATTGATTTGATTCACCAATTTTATAACCCTAGTGAAGAAATATTTTATGCTTTCACTTTCTTCCATCTGAAGCAATTCATATGTTCTTTTGTGAGTTTGTAACCTTACTTCTTTCACTTTCTTATCGCCTCCAAACGATTTCTCCAAAATTTTCCATGCTTCTTTCGCTGATTCAACATCACCCCGCTTTTCAAAATTGTCTGGATCAACACATTGATGAATTATAAAGAGAGCTTTATAATCTTTCTTCTTCAATTCTTTGTGTCCAACCTTTTGTTCATCTGTCGCATTTTTTGCAAGTGGCGTTACTCATTCTTTCACAAGATCCCAAAGATCTTAATAACAGAAAGCGGTCTTTATCTGCTTACACCAATTCTCATAATTCTTATCTTTCAGAATTGGAAGACTTGCTGGAAAAGGCTCATTCGGATGATTCATTGCGCTATGCTTCCTACGAATCATATAGCCAATGCTCTAGATACCATATGTTGGAAGTACTCCCAAAATTTAGAGAATTCTGAATCAATCATGATGAACAAGAATCAATTCTTCTTATTGATTTCGCCTCGTGTTCTTCACTCTTCACTTGAGTGAGTCAACCACGCCTTGGTTGCAAGTTGATTTTGTTGCACAATGATTATGAGAGAAAAGGAAAAAAAAATTGGGAAAAAAAAGAGAAATTAGGGTTTTTGGAGAAAAATGGAAGAAGAATATTTTTGCAGAGTTTCTCTCTGCTCTTAACTGAGATTTTATTCAATCTTTTCTATACGCAAATGCATTATTATAATGATAGAGTACCTCCCTATTTATAGACTGGGATTGCTTGCACAACAAGAAATCTCCAGCTAACCTAACTCAACTAAAAACACAAAATAAAGTAAGTCTAAATCCCTGTCGAGATACAATTCTTCGATATTTCTACAGTTATACAATTTCGACACACAAAATATTTCGATAACAACACACTCTGACAAAATGGTGTTTTGACACCAGAAATTACATTCTCAATACTTCCATCCAACTGAAATATTTTAGAATGTCATTTCTTCTATTTCATAGCCACCAACAAGTTGAAAGCCATAACACCAACTTTTTGTTTTTAGACGCCTTGCCCTTCATGTTGTCCAAGAAAATACCTGCATGATTAGTACTGTCTAACTCCTGATTTGGTTCAATATCGATCATATCGCAAATTTTGTTCCACACTGATTTTGAAAAACTCCAACCAAACAAAACATGATTCAAATCTTCCTCATGGTCAAAACAGAAAATGCAAGTTAGATCATGACTGGATTGAATCACTCCTCTCTTGAACAATTTTGTCCTAGTTGAAAGCCGATGTAAAACAACTCTCCAACCACAAATCTGGACCTTCGACGACGGAATCTTAGCTTTCCAAATTCTATTCAGAAGGTTTTGATCTTCATCATCCACATGACCTGCAGAATGGACACACAACAGCCAATCGTAACAAGATTTAACAGTAAACCTGGGTGAATTATATTATGATGTTGAGCTCTTTAGTTTTTACTTTGCAAATTTTATTATCCATTTTGAGAAGTTACAAAAGAAGATGAAGATAAAAGAAAACCACTGCATCATTTTCATATACTATTATTTTATTTCTGACATTATTAATATTAAAACTTTCAATTATATTAATTGATAAAGAAGTATATAATATAGTAATGATTATTGCAATGTATTTTGCAGACACTAATTCTAGCAGGTACAGATACTACAGCAGGAACATTAACTTGGACTTTATCTTTACTTCTTAACAACCGTGAAGTTCTAAACAAGGCCATTCAAGAATTAGACACACAAATTGGTAGAGAAAAGATGATAATGGAATCCGATCTGAACAAGTTAGAGTATCTCGAAGCCATTATCAAGGAAACATTGCGTTTATACCCACCTTCACCGCTAAATTGGTACTGTTGGTGGATACCATGTGCCAGCTGGCACTCATCTCCTAACCAACATTTCCAAACTTCAACGAGATCCTATGTTATATTCTGATCCCTTGGAGTTTCGACCAGAGAGATTCCTTACAAGACACAAAGATGTTGATGTGAAGGGACGACACTTTGAGTTGATTCCGTTTGGTGCAGGTAGAAGAATGTGTCCCGGAATCTGCTTTAGTCTTCAACTAATGCAATTAGTGCTTGCTCATTTGTTGCATGGTTTTGACATTGTGACTCCAGACGGAGGAGAAGTAGATATGGTTGAACAAAGTGGAATAACCAATATCAAAGCCTCTCCTCTCCAAGTCATTCTCACTCCTCGTCTCTCGGCTCAAGTATGGCGATGCAGTTACTAAATAAAAATTTGTTTCCACTATTAAACAAGTTTGTGTTCATAATTAAAATTTGTTTCTCATGCTTTATCGTTGTATTAGGGTAATTTTGGCCACATGTCTTTCGGGTCTTTTATATATCCCCTGGTATTTGGGAATTCTTAAAATAATTGGTGTGATACCATCTTTTTGCACGTGTATCCGTTCTATCCTCTCATTTTGTTCAATGTTAATATTATTATATAGTTAAATATAAAAAATATATATGTAGTTATAATTTATTTTTTTATTTAAATAAAATGAAAAAATAATTTTATTTATAGTAATTTTTTATATATTAAATTTTTTTTGATAAAATAAAAATAAAAATATAAAAATAGAAATGATAATTCATTCTAATATTAAAACTGTTTTAATATTCTCGTTTGTATTGGAGGTCAAAATTATTAAATTAAGTTGTAATAGTTTATTTAGTATATTAATGTAAGTAGTATTACTTTTAATTATTTGTTCTTTGAATAAGTCAAGTAAATTGTGAATGGGTTTGGTTAATATATATATAAATATTATTTTTGTTTTGAAATTATTGTCAAAAATATTTAAACCAATAGTAAAGTTGTTCTATTATTATTCAATTTTTGATCGATAATTTTATGTTTGCATTAATATTTAAAAATTTATCAGTAATTTCATGTTTCCTTTAATAGTCAATATTTTCATCAGTAATTTTATGTTTCCGTTAATATTTAATATTTTGATCAGTAATTTCATTTTTCCGCTCATATTCAATATTTTGATCATTAATTTTATATTCCCGTTAATATTCAATATTTTGGTCAATAACTTCATATTTCCGTTAATATTCAATATTTTGATGGGTAAGTTCATGTTTCCGTCAATATTCAAAGTTTTTGATCAATAACTTCATGTTCTTGTTGATATTCAAAGTTTTTGATCAATAACTTCATGTTCTTGTTGATATTCAATATTTTGATTAGTAATTTCATATTCTCATTAATATTAAATATTTTGATCAGTAACTTTTTCCCTGTTAATATTCAATAATTTTGATTATTTTAAAAATTATTGTATTTTAAATTAAAAATAATTTCCAAATAATTATATTAGATACCTCTGCGTTCACACGGATTTTGACCTAGTTACATGTGCGTTCACAGCGTACCGTGTGTTACCCGTGTATTCACGTGAATTTTGGTCAGGTTACTCGTGCGTTCGCACAGGTACGGGTAGGGCCGCGAATTTGTCACGTATTTGATTATGAAATTTAAATAAGTTAGAAATTGAATAAATTTAATTCTAAAAAATAAAAATAAAAATGTCTAAGATTATTATATAAGTTGAAACAATTTATAATAAATAATAAAAAATTAATATATTTTTGTGGTGTTTGGATCCATACATTATTTTAAATATATTTATTTTTATTTTCTTTAATTTTATTAAAAAAATATAATAACCCGTGTGTTCACACGATTTTTGGTCTGATAATATGTGTATTCACACAGTACTGATGTGTTACCCATGAATTCCGTATATATATATATATATATATATATATATATATATATATATATATATATATATATATATATATATCTATATATATATATATATATATATATATATATATATATATATATATATACACTCAAGCATATATCATCAATATATGTATTTTTCTTTGCTCATCAAACTCAAGCATATATCAGGTCATAAAGTGGATAATGAGATTTCAATACAAAAACTATGAAAACCTTGCAAAACTGTTATGCATAAAACAAAACCTCTGCATTGTATGGTATCATTTGGATTACAAGATAAAACAGTGCGATTAGAAGTATAAGTACTCTATTATTGCCGAATTGCAGTGTTAGTTGGATTTGTGTTACAAGATAATATATGCTTAAACAGCTGAGGAAGTGATACATGCACTATATTTGGTAAGTTATTGGTTTTCTCAATGAAGAGATTTAATATGCCAAATGATGAAAATGATTGTTTGATTTAGACTGAAGAAAAATTTATAAAATCAGCAGCAAAGAAATATGTTTTAAATTCCTACAAATATAACAAAGGAACTTAAAACACAAATATAATCAAGAATATATAAATGTATACAATATTTTTGAAGGATCAATATCACAATAGCATAATGTTTGGTTGTATATACATAATAAATTGTTAACTTTTTGTGCCTAAACCAACAATTACCATTATTCCATCATCTTTTTTCACTAATTGTAGTTTTTCATGGCAGCTTTTCTGAGCTCAATTCAAAGTACTTGTAGCAGGTGTCCTTTTCAAAGTACTTATCAAATTCAATTTCAAAAGAAATATGACATACTCCCTCCATTCATATTTATAAGAAAATTTTAAATTTTTAGATTCATTGAATAAATGATGTATTTGGTCTATATATAAGTTAGATACATCAATTATTCAATGAATCTAAAAAGTCAAAATTTGCTTATAAATAGGAATGGAGGGAGTATGTTGCTGCAGCTCCTGTAAAACAGACAGTGAAACAATGATTAGGTTTTCCATTTGTAATCGGTATCCTGAAAATACAAGACATTGGTAGATGATAAGATAATGATGATTCTTCAGCATAATGAATCAAACTGAAATGTGAAGTATTCCTTACATGCACAAATCTTAATTAACAGTTGTCGCAAATGGTCAATGAAAATTAATTAACATATATAACTCACAACACATGTCGCCATAAGAATGTATTAGTAACATGAACCTAGAAAATTGGTTAATTAATTGATAATTGAATTCAAACTTTTGGACTTACGGATGCTTCACCACAACCCCAATAATAAGAGGCGACAGATTCAGCAATCACCGTTGATGAGCATGATATGAGAAATTATGCAACCCAATAACAACCAAACAGGTGAAAGAGTATAACAACTCCAATATGTGGTGTGTAATGGATGTTATATCCGCAACAGCGATTACAGATTACCCTATTTTCGATGTGGTTATATGAATAATAGTTAGAGTGGAAGTCGTTTTGAACAACTTGACCAGAGCTGAATAAATGGAGAAAAACCGAAATCTATAACATCTAGAACACTGCAAGGGTGCCATATGGTATGATTATGAAAACAATAAGTGCTTGAACTTCTCCTATCACTTTTGCTGCAACCTTAAGGACAAAAGTTGCCATAAGGATACGCCGAACAGTGGCAATTGATGGAAGAACGAAAACAACCATTATAAACGTCATGAGGACGGTGACGAATCATAGATGAGTCAGCTCCTGAAACCGAAATCTGTTTGTAAGATTTACATGATAAAGTCATTAGTGCAAAGGGGGAGGGAGGGATCACAGAATAAGTATATACTAATTCGGGCAGAGTGATTCTTACCCTTCCATATATATGAATGTAAGGATCATGCTCCCCAATGATCGGTGATATAGTGTCATTTCCTATCCATCCAAATGAAAGTCGAGGAAGAGAAGGCAATATTAACTCAATATTTCGTACGATTGATGTTTGTAAAGGTAAATAAAGGATTTGTCTAGATAGTTCAGCAAAGATTCTAACCTTTTAGGTAGTAGAACATTGTAACTGATACTATTAGAAGATCAAAGAAAACCACCCTTATTCAAGGCATTGCATAAACAAAATGTCAGATCATCAGAAGCCAAATCTCAGAAAGAAACAAAGGTAAAATTCCACCACAAATAATCAGTACAGACCAAGTCTTTCCTATGTCAGCCATGTATCTCTGTCGACACAAAAAAAATTGTAAAAAAAAATCAAATTCTAGAAACATAGTCAAACATAGCCAAAAGTATCAACCACTTGAATGCTTATAAAAAAACTAACCTTTAAGATAGCTGAGTGAGAATTGATATACTTATGAATGGACTTATCAATGACAGTATCTTCATTGATCTTAACTCCTCCCAGTTGCTGCCAACAATATATATTTTTTGATCAGTTTATTTGTTATCTTCTTCCAGCTTATATAAAGATTTACAATAAAAATATGGCTTCCGATATTCCATTCATAACTGGTATACCGGTATATCGAAAAATCGCCGATATCACGAGCATCGTGAAATTTAAATGTTATACCGGCTTTTGTATCAGATAGCCAAAATTCCGATACGCAATACCGATATACCGACGGTATACCGAATATTTAACAATATTGTGTTGGTCACAAACTTCAAAGTTTCATATATGTGAGGTAGATATACAGTACCATTCATTGCAGTCTAGGCTTAGAGATATGTAATAATTTCTTTAGTTCACATAAGTGGTAAGCACAGTCAGATATATGAAAAACATCATAATGTTCACACTTATGCATTTATTTAAAAATGAAGACTCACATTGACCTAATGGACTTCAGACTACAGACTACAGAGAACCAGTTTGCATTTTTACACTTATACTTAGCACAATAAGTTCAACACTTAGATCCATGATACAAGAATAACTCGGCATCTCCATAATGTTACAACTTTCAAAATAATGATAACAATATGCTTAAATGCATGGCATTTAAGCATCACAACCCATCAAAATGTACATAGAAGAATTTCACCATTCACAATCAATATCCCCATCGAAATTTCTAACTGCATGTATATAGTTTACGAAGATTAACTCAAAAACTGCAAAAGGCTAATCAGGAAACACATTATCTCCAACCTAAACAATATACATGAAGCTTCACAATAAATACATAAAAGTTACTGATAATCAACTACTTATCATCAGCTTGTAACTCTTTCAAAAATAAACAAATATACCAAAATAAAAGGATATATTAATATTTGTAACTCACATAAATGTTTGGAGTAGAATCATCTGCGAATGAATTAATTGATGTCAAAGAATAGCCATGAATATCACCGTAAACTCTATGCTGAACTGGATCACTGAGCACCTGAACTACAATAGTTAGAAAACCTGAAACTACAAATTTCTTAACCATTAAATTGTAGAAATCCAAACACAAACCCACCTCATAGA